ATCTCCTCTTACTATTATCTAATTGCATGCATGAATGCAGTAACAACAAGACAAAATCCAAACCTACCAACAACTATTCATTCAATTGGGGACATGATAGAGGACTGGAATCTTTATTTTACAATCTTCCAGGGGTATTAAGCAAGCTAGTTTGCTGCAATTGATCCTCCAAACTCCTGATAAGCATCACTCAGACAGCCGCTCGATACCCGGAAAGTTACACAAATGAGCGCTGGGTCGTAAATCAGGGCCCCGTTCCTATAAACCGTCAAAAGTCTAACTTCTTGACTATCCCATTGAAACATGTGTTATAGAATTAACTTTAAACTGATACCAGTCCCATATGCGTGTTTTTGCATGTTTTAATGTGGTCCGACTCTGAAGTTGGTCAAAGATCTTGAAACTTTGCATTTTCGATGAGACATCATTACTAAGCTAGTGACGTCATGCCGGTAAAGTGCAGGATTCCCCTGTTTTGTATAATTGTTTTCTTGCTGATCTAGATAGTTTATTGGTTTCCCCCCAAAAAGTAAAACCATGACACTAAAATTCTTTATCAAAATTCACAAAATCATATCGAATCTTGAGAGTAGAGTCTATATGATTTTGCAATTTTAAATGAAGATCATAGATATACATAAGAATGACCATTTCAATTAGACTGGATTGCCTTCACGATCATGTTTGTTTTGTTTTGTTTTGTTTTATTTTAATTCCTTGTTTTGGTTATTAAAAATTAAACTGGATACGATTGGAAAGTGGAAAAAAATAAAATAAAATTGTATTCTGCTTATCCACATTATTAGGTCCTATATATATTGAAAAAAGAAAGAAAGAAGGAAATTAATATTTAAAAGAAAGGCGTTGATAATTATACTTGTCGGTTCTTGAGCTTGACTGATTGCTATTACAAAAAAAAACGATATCATTTTTGGTGACCATGTACGTAGCTGCAGCATGCAGGGATGTGGGTACATGTACCGTATGTGGGCCGGGCTGGGAGCGATAACGGCATCCCTTGACCTTTGACTTCAACATCAATGGGAAAGCACTTCCCAAAGCTACTTCCTATAAATACCTTGGAGTCACAGTGGCAAACAATCTGAGCTGGAACACCCATGCACAGAAGATCCAAGCGAAAGCTGCAAGAACTCTTGGAGTTGTACGTCGAGCCCTTGTGATTAGAAAGTCAAGGACATTGCATACAAGCAGCTTGTACGACCCCAGTTGCAATATGCCTCAAGTGCATGGAATCCACACACCCAGAAGGAGATCAAACTCATAGGTCCGAATTCACAAAGGAGGTTTGTCGACAAACCTCCTTTTGTTTCATTAAACCTCCTTTTATTTTTTACAAACCAGGTTTGTAAAAACCGCGTCAAAACGTGTCATATGACGTACGAAAACCTGGTTTGTCGACAAACCTTCCTTTGTGAATTCGGGCCATTGAGGCTGTTCAGACCAGCAGAGATCGTGCTATCTCTGCGGTGTGGAAGGTACAACATCGTTTCGGTACGCCCAACAGCGAGCCATGGCGAGCCAAAACGGCGTGCCACTGGAGCACCTCTTGGGGACTGTGTGAACCCGAGCTACGATAGCCAGAAGTCATCGTTCTACATGTGGGGAATTTTTCTACTCATTCTATTTTGGTGCGATCTGAATATGAATCGGTACAACTCAACACTCCTAATTAGTAATAGCGCACAAAATCGTTGACCGCTCTGACCTCATGACATCACGCGTCATGGCAACAGGACCTCTCAAAAAAGGGGGTGCTATGATAGACCGCGCTATCTCACTGCGGTGTGAATCCGGCGAATGCCAATGGGCGGACCGTGGTTCGCGTTACGATAGCGCGATCCACAGTCCGTCCACGGTCCCCCCTTGCGGTGTGAACAGCCTCATAGAGAGCATAGAGAGCATTCAGAGACAAGCTGCCAGATTCGTCCTCCATGACTATAGAAGAGAATCTAGTGTCACCACCATGATGTCATCTCTTGGCTGGGACACGCTACAACACTTCTAAGTACACCACAAACTTGTCCAGATCTCCTTGCCTCCTGACATCCGACTTATCACAGGCATCACCAGACCGCAACGAGCACAACATCAAAGCCACAACTTCAGATTCACCCAACCATTTTACCGAGTTAACTGCTACATGTACAGCATGTTTCCCAGAGCAGTCCGTGTCTGTCACACTTTTCCAAGCAACGCTGTCACTGCAAATACAATTCTTGGCTTTAGGGGAGCGGCACTACCCGCCATACAGACTATGGCGCCGCCCCTGCCCCTTAAGATGTTGTAACGAGGGACACACCTGCACCACCTGCACACTGCACCCTGCACATTGTATATTGTGCACGGACAACAACCGCCATCACTTCACCGACAGCACATCACCAACAGCACGCAACACAGCACAGCCCTCTGCAGGACAGCGTTCACGCTTTTGGGAGAGTAATTCTTCAAGGTTCAAGGTTTGTTACAATCATTGACAAGGGAGTTTATAGTCTACAAACTAAATACTTAAGAGTTCAGTAACTCAGATCTGGTTAGTATAGATTTTGTTTTCACGTATATGTACAAAGTTCAGAATTTCTGCCGTTTGTCGATATTGTAGATCTATTCGTGTTTCCCGAATCAGGTTGATGAGGTTTCACACAGAAGTCGCATCTCCAGGTCGTATCTAGAACTGACGAGAGCGCGACCGGCCGCTCAGCTTGCAGAGACTTTGTGTGAAATTCCATTACCTCTTAGCCTGCACATTGTCGGTGATACCACACAATCGAACAATTTTCACCGCCACATTGAATTAAGTTTTCTGTAGCAGGAACTCCACAGATACAGACGGTTGTTTCCCCAACTCTCAATTTTCCAATCTTCCGGGTAAAAAAACCAAATATTCGGCCGGGCTTTGGGACTGAATCTCAGCAGCACACACTGTTGCCATTTTTCTTTCCTATGCTAAGCGAGGGCGCATGCGCAGTGAGTTATTTGTGACCCCGTCTGCCATTTGCTTCGAAAAAATTTACGAGCGGCAGTAATTTGGATTAGTTGGGATAACATTCTGGTTTTAGACCAAATTCAAAGGTACCGCATGCACGCAATTCCACCGACCTACATCATCTGTTTTATAAAATGGGGCCCAAAAAATCGTCAAAAATACAAAATTCTGTTATTTTACAGATTTACCGGGTGCATGGCAAATCATGCTTTCCGGTAATTAAATATAAAAATAAAAAATTATAGGAAGAAAAAAAAAGAATGACAAAATTATAAGAATTATCAAAAAACAAGAAAAACAAATAAATATAACTATTAATTTTTTTTATTTTTTTTAAATTATCAAAAAAAATTATTAAAAAAAATATAAACATAAGAATTATTTAGAAAAGGGATATCGGTGGTATCGATCCAAAGTATCGCGTGCATCCAGTAAACAGAACTACACGGTAATTGACCAATCAGATTGCAGGGATTCTTCTACCCATCTTATAATGAAACATGGGATACTTTCACACTATTTATACCCCCCCCCCCCCGACAAACAAAAATGTACTGATAAAACAAGACAATTTTTAACAAAGTGAACATATGTTGGGTTATATTTTCATATCTACCCATTAAAAACGAGTTGACCCAATATTAAAGATAAAGGTGAGTTCTGGTAATGCAATTAATTGCATTGCGAAAAAAAGGTGTGGAATGGATCAGAAGAAGTTGATCATGTAGCATGTAAGTATTGGTGCGCACTGCAAGGTTCTGGAGTCATCAAAATCATAATAAATTTGGCCCACTCTTAAAGCCCAAGTCCACTCCAAAAATAACTTACTTTCAATAGAAGCAGAAAAATCAGACTCACCAATCAAAAAAAGTCAGAGCAAAATTGGATAATAAGAAAGTTATGAATTTTTAATGACTTTAAAAACTTTGAAAATCACTAGACAAATTGGCAACTCACTCATGAGTCTGTGACGTCATGTCCTCACTATCCACTAATTATTTTCTTTATATTGATGATATACATTTCCTATTTTCTCCTTAAGAATCTTATTTCTTCACACCAGCATCCAAGTTAGATTAATAGTAATATATTTTTGTGTGGATGCACTAATATAGAGTAATTTTTTCCAGTTAAATCATGAAATATTTGAATTTCGATAAACTATTTATATAAAAATCAAAATATTTGAATATACAATATAAAAAAAAAAGTATAAATTTGTCAAAGTTCATAAAAGATTTTGTGAAATGTCATGCACGCAATATGATACAAATCATATAACCTGGGCAAAGGCATGGGGAAATCAAGTTTTGGGGAATAAAAATGGAAATTAATGGGATTTAACCATATAGAGCAATTGATAACTAGTGAGGACATGACGTCACAAACTGATAACCATCTTGGCACTTTGTGTTGTGATTCTCATTGTTCCATAGTTTTACATACTTTTTCAAAAATTCATAACTTTCTTATTAGTTATCCGATTTTGCTCAAATTTGTTTCGACTGGTATGTCTGATTTTTCTGCTTTGATTGAAAGTCAGTTATTTTTCGAGTGGACTCGTCCTTTAATTGGTTAAGTAACAAGCACTGTACACAGAAAGATGTATATGGGACTACACAAATGGTGTCGGGGCTAGTACTACCTGATTTCCTTATCTTTCTATGCTCATCACTCAGCCAGTATATATTTTCTTCCAAAATTGTTTGGCACATGACCTTTATTTGTAATCTTAAAAAATTCAGTGTAAGTTTCGTTTGATTCTGTGAGAATTCATTTTTTTTTTTACCAGAACTCAAGTTTATCTTTAAGAAGGTTTTGATCTTTTGGACAATATTAATGAAGGCCCGAAGACTAACAATTCACACAAAAGATCTCATAAAATGATATAACAACACTTCACTACTATATTTTCGGTATAAATAGATCCAAGTACCACAGGGTTTAATGAATATTTTACTGTCTGTCTTTTTGTCCAGAACAAGCTACTCACCTCTCCCTAAATTTCTTTCCGAAAAAAGTTTGGCTTCTCTTCTTGTGTGATATTTTGAACGCTTTCCTCGTGGCATTTCAACATCAGATTTGCCAGAGAAATCACTTTCTGTCGAGGAATAAATATTCTGAGATAGCCTACGTATAGCTGGATTCATACTGGTAGAATAACTCCTGACTTGAAGTTTGTTTCCTCGAGGATCAAGCTTTCTTGTTCTAGTATTGTACATTTGACTCTGAGTTGAGTTCTTATGGACTTTGCTGTATGTGTAAGATCGATTCTGATTGAGTAGGGCTGTCCCTTCTGAGTCTGTGACATCTGTTGTAGAGTAAGCATATGTAACCTTGCCCTTGGTTGTTCTTCGACAGTATACACAACAACAGCATGACATCTTACCTCCCATATTGTAAGCGGTGGCGGTATATGTATAGTCACAAAACAATTCTTAAGATCAAGATCAAGATCATAAGCCAAGAATATCCGAGTTCAGCTTGAGTCAGAATTAAGCATCAGTCATTGTCATTGATCCTCCTGGCCATGGTAGTGATGGAGACGCATTTCAACAGACCCGGCCCTCTTCCACGTCCAAACCAATTGATCTACTTGTTTCTGATCAAAATTGGTTAAAGGCCTACATGAGCTCTTTTCATAAATAACATCTTCAGTGTAACTGCCAGCATTGCATGACATTGCATGACTTAGCATAACTGCCTGTAGTCTCGCTTAATGCAATCTCAATAAATGTAACAAAAGCACTGGACTCAAATCTGAAGTCATACACGTCAGTTCAACAAGGTATTTCATTGACTGATTTCATCTTATCATCAATTTCCAAGGCAAAGTAACAAATATAGGCATCTCAGTTGGTAAAAAATAACTTGTCTGATTCCAAAATAGATGATTCATGCAGTACAAGATTGCAAGAAATACATACTAATTCCTACATTCTCTACTGGATTACATAAGACGTAAAGAAGACTTAGCCATGAATGCTGAAACCTAGCTCATACAGGATGTCTCTAGCTGCACGTATCTCTGTATCACATAGTTTTTTTTACTTCCCTTAGCTGTCTAGTTTGACTGTGTGCACTTTATAGTTTCAAAGTTATGCAATGCGTTGTCCTTATCACCTAACACTCTGAACAGATAAAATAAGTCTCGCCAAGCAAACAAGAGACACAATCTATTATACCAACTTAACAAACAGCGTATTATGCATTCCCCCTCAAGGAAAGTAAGACTCTGAATAATAACATCAGCAAACATGGTGCCCACTGTTGTACGACTGGATGCAATGCACCAATCATTATTCTTCTCCTTCTTCAGGGTCATTATACATAAGTTGCATATAAAGATAAAGATAAAAAACCTACCGGTATGTGGAAATTACCTGATTTAAGACGTGTACATGTGTACTAATTAAGAAGCAAATAAACCCTTACCGTTCTTCACAAAACTCAATGTGAATTTCTCTTATTATAGTTGTTGAAAATTCTTTTGGAAACTTCAAAGATCTACATTATTGATTCTGCCTTCTAAATCATTTTTTTGAATAAGAAGATTATTTCTATTTTACATTCATATATATTATCTTATGTATAATTAACACATAATTTAATTTACAATTAAAATTTAAGTCCACACTCATATTGAATTGTAAATATGAGAGATACAGATCAGTGAAAGTTTGTGCAAAAATCTGATAAAAATTAATTTGTGAATATTAGAAGTTGTTATCAATTAAACACGAATTGGCAGCTCTCTGATATATCTTGCAAAGTCCTCTCTCATTTGCTCTGTGTGCAATAATTAAATGTAGGGTGCATATATTCTCTTATAGGTAATACAAAGTTTTGGTATCGGGTCATGAATTCGGTTAAAATGAACTTATTATATGCGATTTTAAAGTATTCAATGATCCTTGTCACGGTTAAAATCGAGTTTAATGTTATGAAATTGTAAATAATAAACTCTTTACATGTTGTATAGTGCCCTCTCAAGACTGATATTACTTTAGCTTCAAAACAATGTTTCTTGACTTCAACCCATAGGAAAGTGAAAAGTATGCCGCAGACCTGCTGCAGATCTGCTGACGGGGGAGGGTGGGGGAGGGGGGCGTCCCCCCCCCTCCCGCAGTGTGGAGCTTTTTTATTTATCAAGGTGAAATTGTGTGATCTGGTGCATACTTTATAGAGTATTTTAACATTATAGCTAAAGGCAATATGGAGAGAGAAAATCATACAGACTAACAGAGAGATAAAGAAAATGATTTACATATACATGGAATGATTGTTTGCCCACGAACGTGGGCCGCTGGGCTAGGCGTGGAGCGAGGTGCTGAGGGCCCCACGCGCTCACTCTCTGAGACAAAGCCACAGGCAAGCTTTCGTTCAAATTTAAGTTGTTACATAATCACAAGTCATTTTTCATTCTCAAAACTCACTTTATATTTTTATAATCCCTCTCATTCTATTCTGTATGAAGTTTAAAAACTTTAAAAACAAAGCACAGAACCGTGAAATCTTTGCTGTTCTTGATCAATTGAATTGTCAACTGTTACTGATGACGTACTCGAGCTCGCTGCTGGTTCGTCCGATCCATATTCGGGGCCGGGGCAGGCTGGGGCCCGACCTGGCTAGCTGCATATGAATATGGGTACAGTGCGAGGATACGTACATCATCAGGCTAGCTAGCTATATAGGCGCCGATCTTACACACGCACGACCTCGAGAAGTGAGATCGAGGCTTTCGTCTTTGATAAAAGGGGATTAAAGACGGGAAAACTTTCTAAATTCTTGATTTTGGTGGCATAATTCATTCAAATTTATCTGTTTTTATTATTATTTAGTTATTTAAGATTTGTGCATGAGGAATTTCGTTGTTAGCGTGAGAGCGTGAGAATTGAGTGAAATGCGCGAGTCTCATGCTCAATGCGTGAGTGTTGGCAGCCCTGCCTTCCTACAAGACTGCATACTTAATTGCCACATCCACTGGGGTACTGGATATGAAAGAGTAAGCGGCAGGTCTGCAGCAGGTCTATATGAGATATGAATATTCATGATGAAGAGTCTGCGGCAGGTCTGCAGCAGACTCTTCATCATACTGAAAGAGTATGCAGCAAGTCTGCGGCAAAACTAATTTGCATGTGAAAAAGGCTGCGTTCATGCTTAAATTTTGAAGGCAGAATGAGCGATCTGAGGGCGCGTTCATGCTTGATTTTGACGGCCAGAATCAGGCATCTGTTACGCGTTTAGTTTAAAACACGCTTGCGTTCATGCTCACTTTTGTAGAATCACCGAAAAACGGCGATCACGATCGCCGATCGTAAACTCACAAAAAGATGCGTTTACAATTTGTTAACGCGTTTAAATGGGGTCAACGCACTGACCTCTAGTGGGTCTACGTAGCATGCACAGTGAAGGTTTGCGAATCCAGCTGGAAGACCAATTAAGGCCACACACTGAGAATTGCCTGGGGGAGCCAGAGAAGTAAGCATGAACACTACATCGTGGAACTGCGATCACGATGAGCGTTTACGATGAGCGTTTCAGATCGCTCATTCTGCCTTCAAAATTTAAGCATGAACGCAGCCTGAAACGCTCATCGTAAACGCTCATCGTGATCGCAGTTCCACGATGTAGTGTTCATGCTTACTTCTCTGGCTCCCCCAGGCAATTCTCAGTGTGTGGCCTTAATTGGTCTTCCAGCTGGATTCGCAAACCTTCACTGTGCATGCTACGTAGACCCACTAGAGGTCAGTCCGTTGACCCCATTTAAACGCGTTTACAAATTGTAAACGTATCTTTTTGTGAGTTTACGATCGGCGATCGTGATCGCCGTTTTTCGGTGATTCTACAAAAGTGAGCATGAACGCAAGCGTGTTTTAAACTAAACGCGTAACAGATGCCTGATTCTGGCCGTCAAAATCAAGCATGAACGCGCCCAAAGATGACTGTCTGTGGCAAGTCTGCCGCAGGAGTATGCAGCAGATTTATTTCTTTCCTATGGGAATCGACCGATTTGCAATTTGCTATATTTTCAGTTTGGAAGTTGTTTATCAGAACTGCATATTCTGAGATTTTCATGGTCGCAGCTACCATGGAATGGCCTTAGGAGCTATTTGAAATATTTAAAATTTACCGGGAGCACCGGTAAATTTTTTATTATTCAATTTCTCGAAAGCGTTTTAGGGGCTAAAGTTCCTGGTGCTTATAATTCATCCAAATATGTCAACATTTTGAAGAATTACAATCCACTAAATGCCACTACTTGTGACAATATCACCTTTACTTCTAAAAACAGTCTCAATCCAACTGGCTCACAAACTGATGTAAACTGGGCCCACACCTGTAAGTACTTCGGAACGCAAGATAAATTATTCAGCTGCCTTCCTAAAACAGGTTTAAAAATATGTCACATTAATATAAATTCAATTGTACCAAAGTTATCTGAACTTAAAATTGTACTTCAACATAATCCTTTCCATGTTGTTGCTGTCTCTGAAACCAAATGCGATGCTACCATATCTGATTCTGAATTAGACATTGAAAATTACAATATTTTCCGCAAAGACCGCAACCGGCATGGAGGGGGTGTGGCTCTGTACGTGAAAGATGACGTAAGTTGCCGGTTTGAAAATAATATTACATGCGACGATATTGAAGCCCTGTGGGTAAAATTATCGCCAAAACATTCAGAAACACTTCTTATATGTGTTATCTACAGACCTCCAAATTCGTCGTCAAGTTACTTTGATTTATTGAACGGAATGTTAAGTCAAGCTGTCACCAATACAGATGTGGAAATGATATTACTTGGAGACTTAAATTGTGATATGTGTCCAAATAACATAGACTCTCTATCACGATCTCTCGAAGAGATGATGTCTGGTTTTCTTTTCGATCAACTGATTGATGTTCCAACACGAGTGACGACAACGTCGCAAACTATTATTGATCTTATATATTCCACTGACGTAGAAAGTCACTCCTTGAATGGAGTGCTAAAAACATCATTTAGTGATCATTATATGATTTTCACTGTTTACGGTGATGCTGATATTACTCAAAAAGAAAATATCATAGAATGGAGAGATTTTAAGGGTTTTGAGTTTGCAGAATTCAATTTTTTACTTTCCCAAGTGCATTTTGAAGAATTATATCAGTGTAAGGATGTTAACTGTGCATGGGATATATGGTACAACCCGATAATGGAAATTGTAAATATGTGTGCACCATACAAAAGAAAACGTCTAAGAAATAATCCATGTCCTTGGGTGACAGGTGACGTCATTAAATTGATGAACACGAGGGACTACCTTCGTGATAAAGCAATACAGCTCTCGTCATCAGATTTTTGGGAACAATATAAAAAATGCAGAAATCTTATCACACGCGAACTCAAAAATCTTAAAAAATCATACATTACTTCATTATTGAACGACAAATCAGGAAACGCAAATGCGTTATGGGATGTTATGCGACGTCTTACTAAGAAAAGTCAGTCTAAAAATATAATATTGAATGTAAACGATGTTGAAATATCAGACTTGAAGGAGGTTGTCGAATATTTTAATACGTATTTTGTTGACTCTGTTTCTGAACTCACTAAAGGTTTTGAGCTCGAGACCGAAACAATTAAGAGATGTGAATCACTTGAAGAAAATCTGGAAAAACAAACAAACGGTGATTTACTTTACTTTTCAAATATCTCGATAGATTTCGTCATCAAACAGATAAAATCATATACTTGCAAAAAAGCAACTGGGTATGATGAACTCTCTGTTAAAATACTGAAATATATCTGTGATATTCCTCATGTAATGGAAAGTTTAGTATATATACTCAATTTGTCTTTGCATTCTTCAGTATACCCTGATGCTTGGAAGATAGCCCGAGTCCAACCAATTCCCAAAGGAGGGGATACAGCCATAATGAAAAACTACAGACCCGTGTCTATATTGCCGATTTTATCTAAAATAATTGAAAGGGCAGTTTATTTAAATATCTTTGAATATCTGTCTCAGCATAATCTATTTTATAAGAACCAATTTGGATTTCGTCCTAAGCACTCATGTGAAACAGCCCTATTGTGCATGGTTAACCAGTGGTCAGTCAATGTAGACAAAGGGTATTTAAATGGTGTAGCTTTTATAGATCTCCGACGTGCATTCGATACAGTCAATCACTCTCTCCTCTTAAATAGATTACATCAATATGGTTGCTCTCCGCATGTAATTAAATGGTTTGAATCATACTTGAAAAATCGCCAACAATTTGTCTCATTAGGGAAAGAAAAATCAACATTT